GGCTGTGAGATCCCCTGGAACTGGAGTTACAGACAGTTGTTAGCTGCCATGTGGGTGCTGGGATTTGAACCCTGGTCTTCTGCAAGAACAGTGAGTGTTCTTAACTGCTGAGCCATCTCTCCAGCCCCAAGACTGAAATATTTTGTACTGTATTAATCTTTTTTTAAATTGTGTTTCTGGTTTTTGAGACAGGGTTTTATGTAGCCTAGACTGGCCTTGAATGCATTATGTTACAGAGGTTGGCCTTGAAATTCTGATCATCCTGCCTCTGTCTTTTCAAATAGTGAGATTATAGCATGAGCCACCACCCCTTATTTACCATATTAATCTTTATAGAGAATTTTAATTTACTATTTGTGGGAGACAGGCTTGAGCCTAAGGTGAAAGTCTTATTGACAGCCATACAGTAGGCCGGAGGCAATGTCCTGACAGCTGGAGCCACAAGAAATGCCTTGTGACATTTTCTCCCATTGGCAGATCATGAGACTGATGCCTAGATCACTCCCTAGCCATCACTCTTAATATCCCAAATTACAACACTTAGACAGCCTGGGTCACATGATTCTCAGGAAATCAGGCCCTATAAGGAAACCGGAACCTAAGTAACCTGAAACCCATTATGCTAATGAGGTGCCTGACTCACCTGTCATGATAAGACACAGCCCTGCCAAAGATCCAAAGATCTAAATTATAACTTTTTGATTGGACCCCTACCCTTATAAAAGCTTGTGCCCTTCTACAATAAACAGGATCTGCATAGATGAACCTGGTCTCCTGTGTCTGAATGAGGCTCGGCTGACACAGTCTCATCATCAGCCCTGGGGTCCAGGACCCGGCAGAAGAAGCACGATTGGAGGCAGCTCCGGGCGAAGAGCAGCCTCAGCGCTGCAGCGAGGAGAAGAGCTGCCTCAGTGCTGAGCAAGCAGAAGAGTGACCACAGCTTGCAGCCGCAGCAAGGAGCGAAGGGCAGCGCCTGGGCAATCGGGGCGGTGACCAGAAGGTGACTCGGTGTGATTGCAGGAGGCTCTCAGGAGGCGGCGCCCGAGCACTCACAGGCAGCACCCATGCGATCAGCACCATGGGAATGGAGAGCGGCCACAGGCGGCGCCCATGGGAGCAGAGGAGCGGCGCCTGGAGACGGAAAAGTGGAGGGGCAGCCACAGCTGGCGGTGCCCGCAACTATGAAAAGTAATACCCTATTCCTAATGTTGTTAATTCAATAAAAGTATAAGCATTTACTATACAGCATCCAATTTTAAAGGCTAGTTTTAAAGTTCATACTTACGTTGGCATCTTTCCCAGCTAATTTACATAATTCCACTCTTTCTTTTGCAGCAGGCCAATAAATCTGCAAAACATTTAAAGGTAAATTAGAATGGGAATATCTACAATTGCTTTAATTCCAATTAGAAAAGTAAATGTGCCATACTAAAGAATGTGTTGCTAGAGTTGAGACTTAAACCACCCTGAAAAGTTTTTAAATGAAATCTAATCTGTGAAAGATCATCTATTTTTATTTGTCTTCTTGTTTTTCTGATGCATACAGTAATGTGTAAGTTACCAAAGAAGGTCATGTGTTTACTCAAGGTAGTGGTACATTATGAACATGCTAGATGTGGTGGCGGAAACAGCTCTCTATAGCTCTCACAAGTTGCCATTCTAAGGACGGTCAACCTGTTGACAACATTTCACAACCATGGAGCTCAGACACACCGGCCACCTGCCACAAAACTAAATATTTTAGAAGCATATTTTATTTGAATATAATGGATTTAAAATATATACATAACTTCTTCATTTTTGGATCAGAAAATTTGATAGTGTAGATATTAAGTGGCATAACTCCAACTATTTCATGGCAAAGTTAAAATCAGACTCTTTTTTTTTTTTTTTTGAGACAGGGTCTTCCTGTAACCTGGAACTCACTGTGTAGACCAAGCTGGCCTTGAGCTCACAGAGATTTGCCTGCCTCTGCCTCTCAAGTGCTGGGATTAAAGACATGTGCCACCATTCCCAGTCCCTCAGACTCCCTTTTTAACTGTCTCCTAATCTGAGTCTCAACCATTACACAATAAATATTGTTTGGGCAGATGGTCAAGGTGAAGGGCATCCACCATTTTAGTTGACAGCATTTAATTATATTTTATACTCGAAAAGTCTTTTCTCATTCGAAGCTTCAGGAGAGCATATAACTGAATCCTTGTGCTTTACTAGCTTTTAAAATACATATATATATATATATAATATAAATATATATATATATGTAAATATATATATATATAAATTTGTTGTTGTTGGACATCTTCAGTTGTCAACTTGACACACCTGGGAGGAGGAACACATTCTGAGGCACTTACTACATTGGATTGGCCTGCAGTCCTGTCTATCAGCCTTTTTCTTGATTGCTAGGCCATATACGGGAGGGCCCAAACCCCTAGGGTGGTATCATCCCTGGGCTAGTGGGCCTAGTTTGTGTAAGAAAACAAGTTGAGCACAGGCCACAGGACAAGCCATTAAGTAGCATTCTTCCAGGGTCTATGTTATAGTTCCTACTTCTAGGTTCCTGCCCTGAGCTGGAGCCCTGGTTCCCACTTGATAAACTATAAGCTGTAAAGTGAAATAAACCCTTTCCTCCAAAAGTTGATTTTGGTCAGTGTTTTATCACAGCAATAGAAAGTAACCAGAACATCTGTTTGTTTTTCTTTTCTTTTCTTTTCTTTTCTTTTCTTTTCTTTTCTTTTCTGAACAGAGTTTAGGTGTTCTGTCAGGAAAGCATTTGCCATGCAGGGTTCAGTTAAGGTAGGACATCTCAGCTAAAGGAACAATTGTTCTCTGCTAGCTGTGGGCAAGAAAAAATAAGAAAGGCAGGTCAGAGTTGCTATAATACATCCTCCATGGGTGCTTGACAGATTTTATTATTGTTCTCACCAATGTTAGCAGAAAAATGTTTTAATAGAAGGGGGGGGAAGTATTCTATGGTAATACACTCAAAGAAACTTGTTAAATATCTGAAGTTAGCAAGGATTTAGAAGTCACTAATGTTTTATGAATTATCTTTATGATGGAATTTTGGAGGATAATGTCTCTGAGTCAGAAGACTAGAGAATAGCACTAAAAATTCTTTCAAAGTAGACAAAATGAATTTCTAAAATGATCAAGTTTGTGTATTTACTGTACATTTTACCAATTCACAAATTAATATTCAGTGGTTTATGCAGAAGAATGGATATGCAGAAGGAGGGAGGGAGAGGGGAAGAGGAGGGGAACATGTAAATCTTTTTTCAAGATGATGGCCAGAAAAGAAGGAAGGGGAGAGAGAGGAGGAGCATGGGGAAGAGAGAAAAGGAAATCCTTTTTTAAGATGATGACCAGAAAAGATAACTGTGTTTTCCTAATTTTTAATGTGGATGGTATGTTATTCTCAGGTATTTAATTTCTAATTTAAAAAATGTGATATGTCCCAGATTTTAAGCTCTACTACAGAGCTATAGTCATAAAAACAATATGGTACTGGCACAAAGATAGACCCATAGACCAATGGAACAAAATTGAAGACCCAAATATGAGTAATTGCAATTTTAGTCACCTGATATTTGACAAAGGGGCCAAGAACATTAACTGGAGGAAAGACAGCATGTT